CGGGTGGAAAGGCAGGAGAGCAGACAGGACCCTGCAGGGCTCGGATCCCAAGCCCACCCTCCCTGAGTCTGAGGGCTAGAAAAACACCCGAGCCCACGGCCTGCCTGACGACAGCGTGGACTCAGTCTCCCACACTGACGGCTGTGGGAGGAAGAGGGGCCACTCTGGGCCTGAACACGCCTCCTCGGTCTCCCAGCGCTTGCGGGCATGGTGTCCAGCACCGAGCAGAACCCACACGGCACAGAGAGCTGCAGGAACGAGAGGAAACAGCCAACTGACGCAGACCCAGAGACGGCCCAGCTGCTGGAACCATCGGAGACTTTGGAAAGCACGATGTTTTAGAAGGTCCACGCGGGCAGGCTGGGAATTCCAGCAGAGAACTGAACACTGTAAAAATGACCACGGGGGAAAGAACCAGGAGTTAAGGTGGAAGTTCACGGCTCTTCCCAGAGAGCCTGGCGGGCTACCGCAGGGAGACCGTCCTTCTAAAGGCCAGACGCCACCAGGACATCCAGTTCCCACGACAGGAGTAACGACTGCTGAGGGCCCAGCCCCAGCCTCCCGAGGCCTCTGGCTCCTCGCACTTCGCAAACTAAACCCTCGGAGCAGCACTGGCCTGTCCAGCCGCAGCCTGCAGCTCGTCTGCTGCGGCCTCTGGGCTCAGACGGGGCCTGCATTTTTTGAGCCACAGAACAGCACACAGAACGTGCCCACGTGCCGGACCCCACGCGTGGCCCGCGAAGCCGCATAAGCTCCCGCCCTGGCCCCTGCGACGAAGCCCGCCAGCCAGACCCGGCCGGCACCACGCGGGGCCGCAGAGGGGCTCCTTCTCTGGACCGCGCCCTCACTGGCCGCCGAGGTGCCAGCAGCCATCTGTGCAGGAGTGCAAGGTCTGTCTGCAGCTCAGACTGGAAGAGGCACGAGGACAAGGCCGCCAAGTCCCCAGACACACAACCCTGCCAGACCCTGTTCCCCAGCGCAGGCCCCTCAGCCCCATGTCCAGGAGAGTGCGCCCTGGCCCCAGGCCTGGGCCGCCACCCGGAGCCCCCGGCCCCCGCTAGCAGCACTGGCGCGTCTTTCCAGTCAGCTCCACGGTATCATTTCACTGGAAGGCGTGGTGCTGTGCTGTGTTTCACTGACTGAAAGCGGCAGGACTGGGAGCTGCCGTCCATCGGAGAGAAGGCCCGTGTGGGGAACTGCCTCCCTGTTTGCCAACGGGTGGCCCCATGGGGGTCTCCAGGACAGGAGGCTGCACCTCCATGGGCTCCCGTCCCCTCCCACAGCTGCCTGCCCTGCACCTGTGATTTGCCAGCAGCCACAGAGGACCCCAATGATCACACCGTTCCCACCCTGCAGGAGTTAATCACCTGAGGAAGGGGACTCACAGGGATGGGGGGAGGGGAGGAGGGCAGGCCACCCCTCGCTTGCTCGCTGGCTCGCTTGCTCGCTCTCACTCTCGCTCTAGGCAGTGTGCTGGTGCCAGTCCTGCTCCCCCTGCAGCCGCCTCCCACTCCTGCCCTGGGGCCTTCCTTTGGGACCTCAGCCCTCTTCCTGCCTTGCCCACCACTCCCTCTGCCTCCACATCACGCGCATCTCCTGGGGGTAAGGAGACCTCCCCTGAGGCCCTGTGCAGAACCTGGTTCCAGGCGTCCAAAGGGAACCCTCCTGCCGAGCTTCCAGCCCCGGACTACCCCCGCCCCAGGGCCCTCTGTCTTCTGTCCTCACCTGGCAAACTTCTCTGCAGTCTTCAAGGCCCAGCCCACATGCTCCCTTCAGAGGGCTCTCCCACCAGTAAGAGGCCGTGGCTGCGGTCTCCATCCCTGTCCAGCGCCTCCCTGCCCCCTAGGCAGGAAACCGGAACACTGCGTGGTCACCTGTGAGGGCACTGACCCCCTCCTTCCCGAGACAGAGGCTCTCCTGGGCAGCAGCTCATCTCCACTCATGAGGGCACCAGGCAAGTACCCAGCGTAGAGCCCGCACACGGGAACACACACGTTAACACAACAGAGTCGCTGGTCGGAAGAACACGGGGTGCTGCAACTTCACGTTTCCAGTGACGGTAAGGAGCCCCGCGGGCAGGCGGGCTCTCTCCCCAAGGAAGGCGCTGTGGCCTTCGTCCCTCCCTCCGCCAGCTGTTGAAAGCTCTGCCCATCAGGAGACCTGGCGCGAGAAACCGCTCTGCTCCTTCACACGTCTCTGGATGCCAGGCTTCCCACCCCTCCAGGGGAAGCACCTCGCACCGGCTTCACGGATGGGGGCCTTCACCCCACCACGGCTGGGGCGCCAGAGTCCCCACGCACAGGGACTCGCAGCAGCGCTCAGAACGGCGCTGGGTGGGAGACAGCAGGAGGTTATAAAAATGATTACTTTTCCTCATCATTAGTTTTATGAACTTTTCCCAATAACAAGCTCAATCCTCCCCTCGTGCAGAAGAGAACTGAGAAGTCAATACCCTAAAAGTCAGAGGCGAAGAGAGCGTAGGCGGCACGTGTGAGAGGAGGGCCTGCGGACGAGGCTGCGGGGCGGGGGCCAGGACACGGGGCAGAGGGGCACGCCGCTCCCCCATGCCCAGGGGCAGGACTCAGGCGAGGAGCAAAACTCCCCTCTGCGTCCTCCCAGGTCCTCCGGTCGCTCGTTCTTACTTAAACCCCTCACAGTACAATCTTGACACCCTCTCCGCTGAAAGTGCCTGCTGACCACGCTGAGCGGAGCAGAAGTAAGGGGGGCAGCTGTCTCCACCTCTGCCTGGCTACTGCAGAGCAGGGCGCGCTGCCGCAGGCACGGAGCACTGGACGCGCTTCCAGACCAGCCACGTCTCTCTTCACCTGCTGCAGGTACCAGCGAGAGAGCACCTCCAGAGGAGTAGCTAAGGAGGGTCACCAGCAGGCAGTCCAGGCCCCGAAAGGCAGCAGCAGACAGCCAGACCGAAGGTGTGCACCTGGGAGGTGTTGGGGGCAGCAACACGCACGGCCTCCCGGACGCCGGTCCTCCCCACTGGGGCCCCCGCGGCAAATAGCCCCAGGCTGCCCGACGCCAGCCTCCCCGCTCAACACTCAAGTCCCGAGCCAGGATCTGACTGGCGGCCCCTGGGCCCCGTGCCCAGACCCTGCCCGTCCCAAGGCAGGGAGAGAGACTGGGCTTCGCAAGTGCAGTCCTGCCCCAGGACATGCAGGAGGAAGCAGGTAAGTTCCTAGAAGGAGACGGGGCACCAAGTGCACGAGGAAACGGATGCTGGACGGTCAAAAAGGTGGGACTCCCGGAAGTAAGTAACGTGCACTTCCAAACTGAAGGCAGGCACTCGCTCTGCTGGTCCCAAGAACCCTGGTTCCAAGGACGCAGCCACCCAGAGGCCTGGGGAGACCAAGTCACCCTTCACATAAAGAAACGCACACACCTGAACCGAAGGCTCGGGTGGAACCCCCACGCTGGGGGGGGTCTCCTCCAGGGACAGCCTGGGTGGGGGCAGGAGGGAGGCTGCATGTAACTGCCACACTCCAGGTGAGAGCGTCGAGGCTCCACACCCGAAGGCCGCAGTGCCGGCCAGGTAACTGCCCAGGTGCCCATGGTTCTGCCCGATCCACACTGATGCCGGGCCCTCTCCACCTGGCTGCCGGGCGGCCGGGCCCTGCAAATGCCTGTCCTCACCCCACTCCTCTCTGCTTCGCGGTTCCTCACCAGGTGGCCCTGTCAGAGAACACCACCCCACCCTGACCAGCCCCTGGGTGCCCGCCTGGGCTTCAGTGAGCTCCTGAGTCACATCCTTTCGTGACAAGCCTGCTGCCTCCTGAGTCAGACGCCTCTGAGCTCTGGGCGCTGCTCTAGCGGACTGACGGACCCGAGGGGGTCACGGGAGCCTCTGGTCTCTGGCCGGGGGGCAGAAGCACAGTGCCCACCTGGACTTGAGGATGGCGTCTGAAGGGCGCGCGGGATGAAGAGAATGGAGACAGTCTAATGGGACCCAGCCCTAGGGTCCGATGTCAAATCCAGTAGACGGTGTCAGAGCCAGGTTAGACTGTAGGACACCCAGCTGGTGTCAGGAACTCCCTGGATGTGCGGGAACAGCCCACACACTGCAGTGCGGACAATGACTCCTCACTGTCGGTCCTTTTCTGCGTGGATGCCCACCCCCTCCACCCAGACGTGACTAGGAAGAGCCCCTCCTGTTCCCTCTACTGAGGGCTGGCTCAGCCAGGGCCCTGGTACCATCCGGACCAGGTGAGGTGGGCAGACTTCTCCTGGGCTTCCTCTGCCGCTGGGCACTGTCCTGTCTGCCTAAGACCTGGGTGGGGGGGTGGCCAGCAGCATGTGGACTGTGGCCCAGCGGGCTGCGGATGCTCCAGCGAGGTCAGCAAAGTGAAGGGGAACCCGGGCCCACGATGACGCCAGGGAGCCGCTGACTCAGTCACCCGGGCACCGCGACCTCTCGGGCTGTGAAACAAGGCCTCACTTACAGCAGAAAGACCCTAATGACACCCCCCACCATTACGTGTGCTGGCAGCGATCATGGCACACTTTCACGACTTGCCAGCACCCTCTCGCCCTGGACGTGCCTCCCTCCTCTCATCACCCGGCAGCCTGTGTGAACACATGATCGTCCACCACGGCCTGGACGCTGGAGGGTGTGCCCAGGCCAGTCTGCACTCAGGCCACCTGCCTCTAAAACTGCCTTCTCCTGCCAGCCTGCTGCCCCGGAGCCCACGGTGGTCTCCTTCCAGGCTCCTGGCACCCGCCCCCCACCCACACAGCCCTTACACTGTCAAGTTCCAGGAGGACCATAGAACATTCCAGCCCTGGCCAAACCAACCCGAGGCCCCTGAGACTGAAACCCAGCCCAGAGGCTGCAGAGCCAGCCAGCCAGAGCCAGGGCCACCAGAACCCCGCTCCTGGTCCCTAGAAGGACGCCCTATCCACGGGGCAGGAGCTGGGGCTTTGGACATGTCAGGCTCCCACCTGGCCTCTGCTTCCTGGCGCCGTGGGATGGCTAAGGAACCCACACTCACCAGCCCAGCTGCCTGCTTCTCCTGGTCCTCGAAGCCCTCCGCCTGCGGCTGGGACGCACCGCAGGGCTTCGCGGCCGCCCCTTTCTCCCTCGTGGCCACCTGCAGCAGCTTGTCCTGGACTGCAACCGGCTCCTGCTGAGACCTGTGTCAGGACAGATGGAGAAGCAGGTGAGGATGGCATGACTGACGGAAGGGAGAGGAGGAGAGGCCTGTGCGCTCACTTCCGCCCCAGGGGCCGGGGTCTGAGGGCCAGCTGGTGAGGGCCAGCCTCCACTGACAGCCCCTGAGGCCGGGGACACTGTGACACCTTCTCGGCCAGAATGATACACCTGACCGCCAGTGAGGAATCAGACAGCCAAGCGCCAAGGGAGAGGTTCTCAGGGCAGGGGCTCCACCCGCCACGCCGGCCCCTCCCTTCAGAGGGGTAAGTGTGGGCCCCCCACCCCTCCAGCCCTGCCTGCGGCACCAAGGTTTAGATGCAGAAGCCTTGGTTTTGAACACTCAACTGTCCATCCTGATGTGTCCCTAACCGTCCACCTATTTCTGCTCTTCTGTTAAAATCACCCTAAGGAGAGGAAGAGGTCACTGGCGTGGAGACCCTCTCGGAAGTCTGATTTGTCAGGATGTAGTGACACGCCCGGGGAAGCGTGCAGCCCAGGGCGGCCGGGGAACACGCGTAGGTGTGGCAGCCTCACCACACACCCGCAGGTGTGTCCGTGGCCTGGGTCTAAGGACTGAGGACCCACAGATGCCCCCTTCAGCAAGCAAAACACTTAGAAGCAGGGGGAACACGTGGAAGACAGTCCCAGGACTGAGTAAAAACAGCAAAATAGAAAATGTTATATGACTTTGAAAACCAGTCCTAAACTAGAGGGAAGGAGGCAGTTGAAAGAAACACTTCAAGGTGTTCAAGAGATGATGAATCCACGGGAGACTTTTCCATTTTGTAAACATCCCAAGGCTTTCATTGGCGTGTGTCACCTGAGCATGTTTTAAACGTTTAGAAGTACCCACAGGAGGCCCTGGCTATTCCTGGGAGGCCTCTGGGGATCTGGGAGCGGAAGTTCCGAGGGGCTGGGTTTCAACCCATGACACGGAGGGGCAGTGGCCGGGCGGGCCTGTGGCGGGAAGAGGCCGGCTGTGCCTGACCCTGCCACCCCGGGCCCGCAGCTAACTCCCTGGGTCCTCTGTTACAGAGGCCGGCGTCCTCACAGGTCCACAGTCACAGCGGCCAGTCCACTGAGCTGGCGCTCGTGAGAACAGGGACGCCGGGCCCCACACTCAGTGCATGAATGCTCAGGATGCAACCACAGCCCAGGGAAGGGGGCTCAGCTTGGCCTTCTCAGAGGCCTGTGGACACACAGTGATGGTCCCGTGTCACGTGACCAGCAGGTGCGGAATCAGGACATAACCTGCCCCCCCGAAGGCCGCAGAGCCTCAGCTCCTGTCCTTCCAGCCCAAGGTCTGGGGCGTGGCCTGCATCCTGGAGCCCGTCCACAGTGCAGCCCCGGTTACCCTGGAGGGCCCCTCTCCTCCACACGGCTCCGGGTACATGCCACGTCCACAGCTGGGGGTGCAGTCACCCCGCCATCCAGGCCCAGGTTTCCAAGGGAATTAACTCCCCACACCGCTGGGCGTTTCTCTGTCTTTATCAAGGAGCAGCACCAGCTAAGCCACAGGGCCAGCGTCCCATCAGAGCAGACGAAGTCGTGCACAGACCCTCGGGCCTTCAGGCAAGTGGAGGGTCCCCGTGAGGACAGAGCACTGGGCAGAGCGTGGAGCTAGGGTGAGTGGGCCCTCCGCTTACCTCGTGAGGGGCTCCACCTCCGCCCCCGAGTGCTGCCTGCCACCCTGCTCCGGCCGGGGCAGGTCAGAGTCTGCAAAGGGTGAGAAGAAAAGGTCCGTCAGCAACACCCCAGTGGACGGACAGAGCCACGCTGCCCCCAGAGAAGGGCCCAGGGGTGCACCCTGTGGGCAGACACACCCCTGCTCCTGCCATCCCACCGGCCCTCGTTCCGCACCAGGACTGCGTGTGGCGCTGAGCTGGTAGCAGACGTGCACACCTGAGCGAGGAGTTCCAAATCCATCCTCCTCCCCTTACAGCTCAGCATCTAGGTCACCTTCCAAACAGGCCAGAACGGCTGAGGGAAGCTCTGCCTCTGGAGCTGGAGGGACGGCCTCCGGGGTCCGGGTTGCGGGTGGAGGGGAGGGGGGGAGGAGGAGGGGAGGAGGAGGGGAGGGGGGAGGGGGGAGGGGGAGGGGAGGTGGGGGAGGGGAGGCCCCTGAGATCTTCCTCCTCTCGGCACCCCCGCTGAAGGCCTCTAAACCTGAGTGAGGCCGGGCCCCACTTAACGACGTCACATCACATCACCTGCTGCACCTCCAGTCTGACCAGGGTTTTTAAGCTGTCACAGGAGGTCTACCTTTTGACAGCTGTGACCTCTGGAATTTCTGAGCAAACCCAATTCCCTCTGTGCTCTCACCACCGGGCGATGATGAGGTTCCATTACCCACGCTCCCCCAGGCTTCAGCAGCCCCACATCACCCTCTAGCCACAGCTCGCCCAGCGTCCCGCCCCCTCCGTGTGCACGGAACCCTGAGCGGCTGCAGGAGATCCAGGCTGTGGGAGAGAAGGCGCGAGGGTGTGTGCTGTTCCTCTCCCAGGACCTCACGGCCTGCTGGCTTGAGGCTGGAGCACCAGGCCCCCAGGGAGCGGCACCCAGGGACTCGCCCCTGCACACACCCTCCCAGAGGACGGGCCGCGCGTGTGGAGAGGGCACGCCTTGGGCACGGGCTCGGTCACCTCCTCCACCGCTGCGCTGGGAACCGTCTGTGCCCATCTTCCCCCAGCCGTCGGGTGTTCCACAGTCCCCTCTGCGTGCACACTGCCAACGCGCTGTCAGCCTCGGTTCCCGGCTTCTCACTCACCCTTCACTCATTCTTCCTAAACTGTCTCTAATTTTCACAGCCATGTTCCCCACTGTTCTTAAGTTTCTTCGTTTGATGTGGTGCTGGGAGGCTACCTGTTTTCGGACTTTCACGACTTCAGTTCTTGCACTTAAATCTTCTACATTCTCTGACACTGAACTTGGGGTCCAATGCAACACAAGAATTTAACCTTAACTTCTTTTCCTAATCTTGTTCCATCACTAAAACAAAAGCACACTGATCCTAAAAGTAAAATATCTCAAGATTAGTCCACTGCAGGACAGTCCCTTTACGCTGACAACTTCAGACACTCCAGACACACTCACGATCCAACTGCAAAACACTTTGTTAAACTAAAACCAGTTGATTTTAGATGAACCACTCTTCTTGCTTTTTAAACTGCTGAAACCTACCGAAACTGAAACAAATGCTTCTTTTATCGCCCAAGGCTGAAACTGATGTGTGCGTGATCCACTTTGGCAGTGTTTGCTTTTTTCATCACTTTCTGCCTCTCACCTTATTAAACTTCAGTCAAGTCAGGCCTCCTCATCTCTCCCTCCACGTGCTGAGACACGGTGGGACTGGCCCCTGGAGGCCCAGAGTGTCTTCTGTGGCCTCAGGACTCTGACTCAGCCCTTTGCAGACAGACACTCAGGAAGCCCTGAGGCTGGTCTGGCCCAGGACCTGCTCTGCTCCAGTGCAGGTGGGAAGCCCTGAAGGAGGCAACCCAGGGAGTGGGATGGCAGAGGCCTGGTCAGCGCCCTGGCCGCACTCTGGCCACCGTGCCGGGGTGACAGGACTCCTGCACCCTGCCCCACCTCCTCCTTTCCCTTGTACTTTATACTCCAGGTCCCCTGGGCCACTGCCTGGGCTGTCACCAGCCTGAACCCCCATCCCCCGTCAGCACAGTCCCATCTTTCAAAATCCAGTTCCAATGTCAGCTCCGCTTGAAGCCCATCCCTAAAATAATGAGTCACTCTCCTCTGTGCTACCGGGGCCCAGGACAGGCTTCTGATGCCTCGCTGTCACACAACCCCTTACCCTGCAGGGCGACACATCTGGCTCCTAACTAGAGCTGTGCACACCTTAAGAGCCGGTCCCTGCCACCATGTCCCAGCACGAGGCTCACGGCCTGACCGCTGATGGCACTCAGCACATGCTGAGTGCGCAGGGAGCGCGCCTGCCCCTCAGGCTGGCTCCTGGCCAGCAGGTCAGCAGGGAGGACGAACCCAATGCGAGGTCGCGCTTGGATGAGCGAACCGCCGTGGGACGGCACGTCTGCCCAGCACGGCACAGCCCTCGGCCCCTTGACATACAGCCTATCAAGTTCCAGTGGCAGAAAGACCCCCGTTCCTGTCAACAAGGACTTACTACCAATCAGCGGCCATGAGAACGTCTCTGCTCCGTAATATCTGAAATTTCTACAGCTTACATTTTCCCTCTTAAATTTTTGCTTCCTTGTGTTTGCTAAAAGTAGTTACTTGGAGAGGAGCCTGGATGTCTCCCCTTGTGATGGACACAGCAGTGGGGAACAAGCCAGCTGCAAGCCTGGTGTGGGCAGTGGGGCCCCGGAGCCACGGGGCGAGCCCCCAGGAGCCCAGCCAGGACCAGGTGATGGAAGGGACGCCATCCCCACTCCCTGCTGTCAAACAAGCCCCTGCCACATTTTCTGTGGGTGGAGAAGCTGGGACAGTGGGGACTCCCAGCCCCAGTCATGGGCAGACAGTGCCGGCGTGGGGAGCCCCGCTCTCCAGAAGCACCGATGTCCCTCCCGCGTGATCCCAGCCCCCTACCTGTCTCCGGGCCTCTGGCGGCGCCAAGTGCAGGAGGTGGCGGCCCCGCTCCGGAAGGCTGGCTGGAATCCTTCATGCGGTGAACCACGCTTTCTGACAGCTGTGGGAAGGACCGAGGGGGAAAGTTAACCCACGGAACCCTCTGGAAGGGAAGCCCTCCCTTTGCCTGGGCCCAGATTTCTGAGTAGGCAACTTCCTCCAGGCCAAGTCCCACAATGTGCGTAGTTCTCTGGGAAGATCTCCCATGACGCCCAGGGCTTCTAGGTCAGCGCGCCGCTGGCCTGGGTTCCAGCCCCACTGGCTTCCCGGCTCCCACACATGGTCTGCGCTCAGCAGATCCTGGTTCTCCCTTCTCTCCTCTGTCCTGAGTTCACTCTGCCCTGGATGTCCCCACCTGTGCAGACCTGACCCTTCCCTGTCACATCCCAGTGTCCCTCTGCCATGGGGTCTTCCCAGCAGCACCGCAGCTGTGCCCTTTCTCCCCTCCTTACGCTCCCATGACAACAGCTGTGCCCCAGGAGGTGCCGCACATCCCACCTGCCTGGTCCTAATGCTCTGTAAGTACCTCGAGGCCGGACCACCTCTTATGCCTGAGTCCCCGCAGGTCGCACTCAGAGCACCTATCACAGCCTGACTCTCTTCACTCCCGTTCCCGATGAAGATCCGATAATCAAACCCCTCCTCCATCTTAGAGGAAGGGAAATAGGCCAGAGGGAGTCATAAAACAGTTTACTGAAATGAAGTGGCAGGCTAGGGATGAGTCCCTAAGAGGTTACGTCAATAAGTATTTATTAAGTGCCTGGTAGGTGCAATGCATCACAAAGCACAGCTGAGGGGAGACGCGGAGGGGAGACACGGACTCCATGCCCACGCACCCATGCGAGAAGGGCACTCCCACGTGTGCAGGCGGCCCTGGAATCGCACAGGAAATGGAAAAAACAGAAACACGCAAGGACGGGAGTGGTGGAGAAATGAGGTGGGCCTTCCACGAAACGCCACGGAGCCACCTAGAGATGGCAGGTGAGACACGGTAGCTGTCCCAGAAGGATGCTGTGCTGACCTGGGAGAGTCAGACCATGCTCTGTTTATCTTGATTTTGTGAAAAAGATTACACACTTACAAGGATGCAGACACGTGGCATAAATGTGTCCACACTCACGCGTGTGTGCACAAACGTGCGCTCCCACCCAGCGGGCACACGAACCGCTGCTGGGCTGCATCCTGCACGTGGGCAGGGGCGTCGGGGTCAGGACTTTCACTTCTGGCACGTCCATGCTTTAATTTTTTATCATGAACGTTTTTAGCAATTAAAGTTTATAATAGTGATAACTGAGTCCAGTATTTGCGACAGATACGAATCAGATGGCTGATTAATGATTACTGGACAAAAGAAGACCACGAACATACAGCAGCGGCAGAGAACTGAGGACCCAGAAGTAAGCCTACGTGTCTGTGGTCGACTGACCGACCACTTGATGGGAAAAGAACAGTCTTTCCAACAACCGGCGGCGGGACGGGGGCGTCCTCGTGCAAAAGGACGAGCAGGACCCTGCCTCACACCGTCTACAAAACCTTTACTCAAAGAGGATCGGGGGGGGGAGGGTACAGCTCAGCGGTACAGCGCGTGCTCCGCACACACGAGGTCCTGGGTTCAACCCCCGGGACCTCCATTAAAAATAAACAAATACACAAACAAATAAAGAGGATCAGAGACCTAAAGTTAAGACGGTAAAATAATGAAACTCTTGGAAGAGCACTCAGGGGGAAATCTTTACAAACTTGGCTTTGGCAGTGAATTCGTAAATACAGCACTAAAAGCACGAGCAATGAAAGAAGAAACATGGATGGAACTTTGTACTAATCGAAAAGTCCTGTGTATCAGAGACACAACCAAGCAAGTGGAAAAGGGGACCCACGGAACAGGAGGCCTCTCTGCGAGCCGCACACCTGACAACGGAAGTGTACCTGGGATACAGAAAGACACACAACGGCCAACGAGCCAGCGGAGAGGTGCTCGGCACCTGCAGTCCCGGGAAAGACGCAAATCCAAACCACAGGGCGGTACCAGACCACCCGCGACCAAGATGTCGGTGACAACGCGCTGGCGAGGCGGTGGCGAGGCAGACGCTCGCCCACCGCAGCCAGCAAATCACTGGCGCAGCCACTTCGGGAAAGAGCCCGCCAGCCCTCGTGGGTGTAAACACCGTTACCGTTTGATCAAGCAGCTCCGGCCAGAGGTGCCTGCTCAAGGGCGATGGACTCACAGTTTCAGCTAACTTGACATGAATGTTCGCGTCCGCGTGATCCGTAACAGCCAGAGGTGGAAGCAGCCCAAGTGTCCATCGACTGGGGGGCGGTGCGTCCACACGGCCGGATGACGTTAGTGGTAAGAAGGAACGAGGTGCTGACAGGCTGCCCCGCGGTGAGCCCGGAGCCGCACGCTCAGTGAGCCAGGCACCAGAGGCACGTATCCTATAACCGCTTACTTGGAATGTGCAGAACAGGCAAAATCCCTAGAGACAAGAAGTAGCCTGACTGCCTGGGGCCGGGGTCGGGGGAGACAGGGCACCGACTGCTGAACGGTGGTCAGAGGTGGGTTTTCTCCACCTGTTCAGAGATGTTAAAGTGTGTCTCCAAAATCAGTGTCATATGTCAGCGCCCAAAGCTCGGACAGAGCAAAACAGGAACCTGCAGGGCCAGGGGCTCGTGGGGCGGGGCAGGGGCAGGGCCTGGGGGAGACCCCCAGAGGGGGCGATGCTGATGTAAGTCTCCCCCTCTTGAATGAGGAGGCCCCAGCCACCGTCACGTCCTAAGATCCCAGGAAAAGGATCCAGCTCCAAGCAGAGAAGAGGACTGTGCAAACGCTCTGAGAAGCCCTGAGTCTGGCCGGTCCAAGGGCCAGCGTGAGAGAAGGATGGACTAGGTGACCAGGCCGGAGAGGCAGGTCGAGGTCAGACCCAAATTTGGCCCGAGGGCGAGGGGTTCTGCACAGGGGAGTCCTGGGCTCCGACTTCCTAGCCCAGCCTGGGGGGGCATCGGCCGAACAACACCACCTGGTGAGCGAGGGGTTAAGGAAAACACTGGCAAGCGTCTCGCTGGCAGGAGGAGATCTGTAATATTTTTTAATGTTGCTACAAAATAAGCAAGAAATATTTTTAATCAACAAATATACATAGGCACACAGCAGCCATGTGAGAATAAACACCATCTGGGCAGGGCTCCTGCACCAGCAGAACCAGAATGGAGGCCCCCGGAGCCAGCAGGTCTGGGAAGTCTGCGCCGGAGGCCTGTGGCCACTGCACCACCAGAGCTGGCCACATGGAGCCCTGTGTGGTCAGAAGACAGAGGGCCAAACCCAGAGCGGGAAATCCAGGAAACAGGAGTCCACCGACAGCCAGCTGTGGGCCAACCCCCTTCCTCGCCTCCCAGAGCTGCACGGTCCTCGCCTAGAAGTAGGGCCCCACGGGCTGGACTGGCTGCCGCAGCCTAGGAACTGGTGTGCAGGTTTGAATCCCGACTGAGCTGCTTACTAGCTATGTGACCTCGGGCCGGGGCCTCCTTGCCTGCAAGATGAGACGACTGAGGGCAGAGACGGTGAGGAGCACACGGGCCGTGGGCATGGAGCAGTCAGTCCCAGCTACCGTGCGGACGGTGAAGCCCTTGCGAACAGGAGTTACACTCACACCAGGCCCTCGCAGAGTGTATAAAAACACAGACCTAGTCAACCAGGGCGGTGAGCCTTGGCAGCCGGGCACCAGAAGTGGCCTGTCTGCTCCACGTGCTGCTCTGTGACCTGGAAAGACTCTTCTCAAAGTGCCCTCCAGCGCAACGTCCAGCCTGTGGCTCCAACCTGGACCCCACCCCCCAGGCTGGAGTGACACGGGGACTCTGAGCAGAGGGACCTCCCGTGTCACCACCATGGAGTGCATGGCTGGTGCCAGCACAAGTCACAGTGACAACACGGAGAGAGGAAAGGATCCTCTCTCCTCCCGCAGCAGCCCAGAGCCCATGGCGCTATGGCCGGAGACCAAAAGCCCTGCAGCACAGCCACCAAAATGCAGCCCTCCCCCAGGGTACCCAAGTTTAGGACACGCTCCCAAAGAGGGACTGGAGGTTTCCTTATCGGCCACTCAGGCCTGCAAATAAGTCCCGTGGCCACCCAGCGAGCAAAAGGCTGGGGAAGGGCTGCTGTCAAAGTCCCAGCGTCCACACCCGTTTCTGGGGGCAAGAACGGGGTAAGAGCAGCGCCCGACCCAGCCAATGGGGAGGCCCCGCCTAGCCCCACCCGGGGACCGCGCGCACTGCACGCGCCAGCAGGACCGCCTGCTCACCCCTCCCAGTGGGGCGCCCTCTCTCCGGCCACAAAGCCCGACCCCAGAACAACAAAAAGATCTGCACGTCGCCTTTTCTGCCGTTCACAGTAAGACCCAGGCAGGAAGGGGAGGGAAGCAGGTATGCATTCACCAGACAGACAGCCTACTTCAATGAGGAAACATCCATTCGAAAATTAGCACCTTTCCAGTCTGAGAAGTCACTCACTACACACATCTGAGAAGCAGCCGCGTGGAGGCCATGCCCCAAGCATTATTCTCTGTGTCACCACAAGCACCGATGGCCACCAGGAGACTGTCCTCGAGTCCTCGCATCCTCAGCGGGACAGGGTGGTGTGGTGCTGAACTGCCTGCTCGAGTCAGTACCCAGCCACCCTGCGGAGCTGCCGCCTCCTCTCACGCACAGTCATCTGGATGCCTCTCTCCCTCCCCAGCCGCCAGCCCCTGACCACGCGAGCACCGGGCAGGTTCCAGACGAGTCAGGCCTGCCAGGGGCTCCTGGTGCCCGGACACCCCCATCCCCGGAGGCGCTGCCCAGTTCTGTGACTCGGAACAGATTTCTCTGCTCTGCCAGCGGCTGTTGCCTTGGAGATTCCATTGGCTAGTCCTGCAGTTTCCTGTGAGCTGAAATTAGATCCACAGATTTAAATCCGAACATCAGGCTGAGAAGAGCTCTGGAGGCCCCCCAAAGCGTGGCAAACGCCATCATCACGGGGTCTGGCAGGTGATGGAAGTGAATAGGCAGGCCTGGCAGGGAAGAATCAGTT